TCCTGGGGCCCTGGAAGCCACAGCTGGACACCCCCTTGGTGCTTGCCCTTCTCGGAACCGCACCTTCTACCAACTGCAGACTCGGGAGCTTTAAAGAGCAGGAGAGCTCTTCCTCCCCAGACTAGCTCTTTTCTCTGGGTCTTGTTTTTGTTGATTTTTTTTTTTAAATGGAACCAATGTTTTTCCAGCCCATTGAATGCTAAGCAGCTCTGGAAGGGAGGGCTCTAAGATCAGGAGTCTCTGGTTCTGGGACTCCCAGTGTTCATACAACCAGACCAAGGAAAAGGACCCTCCAAGACAGTAACAGATGGGAACAAGACTATGGGGAGGAAGAGGCTAGCAATGGATGGGGTTGGCGGCCCATCAAGGACAGAGCACTGACTGGCTCTGTGCCCCCATAGAGAACTGCAGCATCACCCTGGCTAGACCAGGGGAGCCTAGGTTTGGTAAACTAAGTACTGTGGAGGCCAGAACCTTATTGGGCCTCTGGGTATATAATCTGGGTTCTGCCTCTGCCCTTGGGGAAATGATATCAGAAATTTGCCCCATTTTATTTACAGTCTCTTTGTGTCTGTCATTTCTCTTTCAAAACAGCGGTGTTTTGGGTTTTTGTTTTGTTTTGTTTTGTTGTTTTTGGTTGTTGTTGGCTTTTTCTTTGCTTTGCTTTCTTTCTTCTATTTTTTTTTTTTTTTAAGAAAAGTTCTTAAAACACTAACGGAAACCCATGGAGTTTGTCCTTTGTAAAAATTTTAAACACAGTGTCTTGATATAAAAATAAAAAAAATCCAGTTAGCACTCCCAACCTGCCTCCGTGCACAGGCCTGCCCCAACAGCCCCAGGAGCCTGGCGCCTGCTCAGGCTGGAAGCACAATTCTCCAGCAGCCTGGGGCCTCCTGCCTTGTAGCTCCTACAAGTCTGGGCTGTGCTCTACTGGCCCTGGGCCCCCCTGCATAAAGCCTCTCTGATCCTAATCATGTTGCTGTACCATCCTCCTGCTCCAGTGCTCTGAGTTCCTACAGCTGAAACCTGTCATCGCCTCGGGCCTCGTAATGAAACAGCAAAAATAAGCCTGCCTTCCTCCTCTGCCACCAGGTCACCACCACTGCTGCCACCACCTCCTCCAATGCCATCACTACCATGGTCCTCACCCTGCCCCCAACTTGGACTGGTGGCTAGGGGGAGGCTTGACCTCTGACCTGCTGAAATTCTTTCTCCTTTGGAAATGCAGTACACATGGCATCAGCCTGTGACCTCCTCTGCCTCCATTGATTTACAGAAGGGCCAATCTCCCTTCCCTCAAGGGGTGCAGGTTTTCTTTTCTGTGAATTGGAATAGCAGAAGTCATTGGAGATCGATTTCTCTTGGGGACTGTCACTAGTGGCTCCCTGACAACTCTGGGGGAATGGATTCAAGAAGGGGCCCCGTAGGGCTAGCATTGTGGGGTTTCCTATTGTCCTCTGTGTCTTGAAGGGCTGAACTTGAAATCTGTTCATCAAGTGTGACAGCTGGGCAGGGTTGCTGATACCTCAGAAGCCAGGAATAGAATTGTTCAAAGTGACCCTGACAGAACAGGGAGATGAGCCATCACAAGGCAGGATGGTGTGCGGAGGGAACAAGTGCAAGGTAGTGTACACAGAGATCCAAACCCAGAACTAATACCCTGATGTGCTGCCTGGGACAAGAGCGGTACAAGATGGCGGCTTCAGCACACGGGGACAGGAACAGAAGGGCTGCGAGAGGGGGTGCCTTTTGAGTCATATCATGATTGGAGACTGCTTCGGGCCCTCTCTTCCTTCTTTCTTTTAGGCTTTCTGAAACAAAGACACTAGCATATAGTAGCAAAAACATCAGGGAGGACCTGGGAAGTCATCACAGAGTGACTGTTAAAACATAAGTCACCCCAGTGGCGTATAGTCCAATCCACTTCCACCTGGGAGGAGGAACAGGAAAGGGAAGACCAGGAGTTCAAGGTTATCCTCAGCTACATAGTGAGCTTGAGGCCATCCTGGAATGCTTGAGGCTCTATCTTTGTGTGTGTGTATGCGCGTGTGTGTGTGTGTGTGTGTGTGTGTGTGTGTGTGTGTGTGTGTGTGTGAAGGTGCCGTGGAGACCAGAAGAGGGTATCCAATTCCTGAGAGCTGGAGGAGTTACAAGTGTTTACAAGCTGCCAGACATGGATGCTAGAAACCTAACTCGGGTTCTCTAGAAGAGCGGGAGGTGCTAACCATTAAGCCATCCTTCCAGCCCCAAGACTGTCAAGAAAAAACAAAAATGAACAGAAAAGAGACCTAGAATGTGACCCAATAGTTCATGACCCTGCCGTCCCCCTCTTGGACTCTAGTCCTGCACTGGTTTGGCATCCCAAAGCAGCAGCAGCCCTAGCTTTGGTGGGCATACTTCAAGTTGGTGGGAAAGCAGAGAGGCTCTGGAGAAAAGTGGGATCTTTAGGGCAAAGGCTCTGCTGATGGCTTACTTTGTTTGGGTTGATTTTGATTTATTTGTTTGTTTCTTATCTTTTTTTTTTCCTGAGACAGGATCTTACTAGGTAGCCCTGGCTGGCCTGAAACTTGCTGTGTATAGACCAGGCTGGCCTGAAACTTGCTGTGTATAGACCAGGCTGGCCTGGAACTCACAGAGATCCATCCACCTGTCTTTGTTTCTGGAGAGCTGGAATTAAAGGTGTGTGCCACCACATCCAGCAAAATGTTCTCTTTTGAAAGATTTTATTTTTATTTTTTAGAGTTATTTATTTTATTTTATATGTCTGAATGTTTTGCCTGTATATATGTATGTGCACCATGTGTATGCCTGATTGATGCCCATGGAGGTCAGAAGAAGGGGTCAGATCCCTTGGAACTGGAGTTATGGATGGTTGTGAGCCACCATGTGGGTACTGAGAACTGACACCCAGGTCCTCTGCAAGAGTAACAAGTGCTCTTAACTAGTGAGTCATCTCTCCAGCCCCAGATTTTATTTTTAGGTATATGTGTGTGTGCACATCAGATCCCCTGGAGCAGTAGTTATAAGCTATCAATCATAGGCCAAGTGTGCTAGGAACTGAACTCAAGTCCTCTGCAATCACAGTACATGCTCTTAACCACTGAGCCATCTCTTCAACATCCCCAGGTTGTTTTTTATGTTTGTTGATTTGTTTTGTTTTGTTTGAGACAAGGTCTCTCTATGTAGTCCTGGCTATCCTGGAACTTGCTACGTAGACCAGGCTGGTCTTGAACTCACAGAAGATCTGCCTGCCTCTGCTTCCCGAGTGCTGGCATTAAAGGTGTGTACCATTATGCCCAACCGTAGGTTGCTTCTTTTGTTGTTTTTAATATAGAAAGAAGGAAGCTGATGAGGAACAGCCGATGGTTTGCCATACCTACTATGTAACAAGTGTGCTATGACCATCTTCAAAATGTCACTTCTGAATAAAGAGCGAGCTGTGTTCTTTCATGGCCTGTGTGCTGCACTCCTTCTGAGTGGAAACAACATGAAGGGAAAACGAACAAGTGATAGAGGTGCAGTCAGGGGGCACTCTGGGTACCCCGAAAACCCTCAACAGCAGCTGCCAAACAGGAGGACTGTGTTGTGGCTCTCACACTCTGAGAGCCTGGATAACGTCACCTTTTGGGTCCAGTTTGTCTGTATTTCATGTTTAACCTTTAGTTGCTCCATTTCAGATATTCCCATTGGGGCCTCTGGTAGTAGAGAGACTCTAAATTAGGAGACTGTCTCATGGAGGTGACTTAGAGGCATTTCTTCTCACACACTCAAGATGCCATAACAAAGCCAGGGACCACGCAGTGAGAAGCTTTGGTTGCTCCTCACACCTTTCAAAGGCCTGAAGACAAGGTGATCTCCAAGACAGACAGGATTTCAAGATGACTGACAGCCATCCTAGGGAAAAACATCCACCCATGTTTTTTCATGGCCTGGGCCTCCCAGCTGAGCAGCAGCCCTGAGCCTACATCTCACAAATCATTAGTGTTTAAGTATAGGGTGCTGGTCACAACTGTCTTAGGAGCTGTATTTGTGAGAAGGGTCAGAGGTTTGAAATCCCCATGCAAGAATGGTAACCGTGACTGGAGGGCTGTTCCTGTGCTCTTTCTATAACTATCAGGGGTGAAGACACTTATCTGGGCACATACTATCAGGAAAGCAGTCTAGCCCCAGGGAGCCTCTGGCTGCTCAGAAGTGCTCCACGTCTGCTCAGTAACAGCCCACACAGCATATTTGCAGAGCACCTGGCAGTGTCTTTTTTAAACCCCACAGAAAATGGAATGGATGTGTTCTTCAGCCTCGGGACGACCTGTTATGGATGAGGAAAGGTGAACCCCACAGCTACAGATCAACAGATGTGGAGCCAATGGAGGGCAAATGAATGCAAGGCTCCTTGGGGACCACTCACAAAGCTAAAGATTGCTCGTCCCTGTACAGAGTCAGGAAAAACAGATCATTCCCCCACCCAGCTCACCCCCTTTAATGGGGAGGCTGGAAAAGTCCATGAAGAGAAGGTCATGGCCACGGTTGCCTGGAATTAGACAAAGCATTCTTGGGACAAGACAGACAATTTCAGAATGGGCAAAAGTAGATGTAGAGGGCTCTTAACTGCTCAAGTGATCATATACAAAAAGATTCTGCTTCGGTCACTAGGTCAGTTTTACCAAACCAAGTTTCCTAGAGGTGGATTCCCTTTTCTGAAGTCCAAGTGTAACAGCACAAGGGCAGCATGCGAGCAGTATTAATAAGAGTGTATCCCTCAAAATGAGAGGACCATCTTGTGCATGCTGTTCTGTCCTCATCAGTGTGAGGCACCAGACTTCAACAGAGATGCTCACAAAGTGTGCTTAGAGAAGGGGGCGGGGGGAGGAAACGACAGCAAGAAGCGTGGAGTATGCCTGGAAAAATGTGTCTAATGTGGGCAAATCATTATGTGAGAGCGGTGGTAGCGGTGGTGGCGGCGGGGGTGGGGGTGGGGGGTGTTGGGGGTGTTGTAGGTTTGTTTTGTTTTGTTTTGTTTGAGACAGGATCTTACTATGTAGCCTGGAATTTTCTATGTAGACCAGGCTGGCTTCAAACTCACAGAGATCCACCTGCCTCTGCTTCCTGAGTGCTGGCTTGAAGCTGTAGGTTTGTTTTGTGGATCCAACTCCAACTGCTCCAAGAGCTGATGGGTGGAAGTTCTAGGAAAGCAGATTTGGATTCATCATTAAAAAGCTGCTCTTTTTGCCTTTTAAAAAATGTTTATTTATTTACCTGTGTATTGTTTTGTGGGTTTTTTGTTTGTTTGTTTTTGCTTTGCTTTGCTTTTTGAGACAGGGTTTCATGTAGCCCAGGCTGACTTCAAATTCACTGTGTAGGGAATTTGACTCCAGTTTCTGATCCTCCAGCTTCTGCCTCCTGAGTCCTGGGACCACAGGTGTGCACCATCGTGCCCAGATTCTGCAGCACTGGGAATGGAACCCAAGGCCTTACACATGCTCGCTGAGCTCTGTACCCAGTGAGCTCCATCGGCAGCCCTGCTCTTTCCTTTTTTTTTTAATAAAGAAAAACTGTGATAAGAGTTTCAGCTCATGATTGTAGCCCCTCAGAGTCTTTTGAAATTTATTGTCAATGGTTTCAAAAAAATGGGGAAAAAACCAAGTGCCCTAAGATATTAATCTGAGGGCCGCGGCAGCCATCTTCCAGTAACTCGCCAAAATGACGAACACAAAGGGAAAGAGGAGGGGGACCCGCTGTATGTTCTCCAGGCCTTTTAGGAAACATGGAGTTGTTCCTTTGGCTACTTACATGCGAATCTACAAGAAAGGTGATATTGTAGACATCAAGGGAATGGGCACTGTTCAAAAAGGAATGCCTCATAAGTGTTACCATGGCAAAACCAGAAGAGTCTACAATGTCACCCAGCATGCCGTGGGCATCATTGTAAACAAGCAAGTTAAGGGCAAGATCCTTGCCAAGAGAATCAACATGCGGATTGAGCACATCAAGCACTCTAAGAGCCGAGACAGCTTCCTGAAGCGGGTGAAGGAGAACGACCAGAAGAAAAAGGAAGCCAAGGAGAAGGGCACCTGGGTGCAGCTGAAGCTCCAGCCCGCCCCACCCAGAGAAGCACACTTTGTGAGGACTAACGGGAAGGAGCCTGAGCTGCTGGAGCCCATTCCATATGAATTCATGGCCTAATGTACAAAAAGAAATAAAAGACCTGAACTGTAAAGGGCTTTTCTTATGTTGAAAAAAAAAAAGATATTAATATGAGCAATTAGAGCAGATTGCCCAAAGGGCAACAGTCCCTATCAGCAGAGACAGTCAGGCCATGAGTGGACTAGCACTGCGTGGGGCTGATGCCAGCCTGGTGAAATGTCTGAACATTTGAACATTGAACAGCTGACCCATAACCTCTAGGCTCACTGAGATCTTGTGATACGTGATCTGGAAGGTCTCATGAGAAAGTATTTAGGAAAATATTTCTGGAGCAGAGGGGCCGAGTGGGCCTGAGGCAGAGAGGTTGGAAGCAGAAGAAACAGCTGGTTAAGAGGTACCTTCTCTGAGGGCTACAGCTAGTTTTCACTATTTCTAGTCTCTCTATTTGAATTTCAGATTCATGCTGTGAGATATGGCCTCACCAGTTGAGTCAAACTCTTCACCAAATACTGATCTTGCCCCTGCTTAAGTGAGTCCAGGGAAGGGAAAGTCTCATTCTCTCAAGTCAGACCATTGCAGACTGGATCTTCCCAGACTATTGTGGAGTCCTTTACGGGAATGAGTCCATTTCCCATATTACCCACCCTCCACTCTTAACGATGATGCCTTCTTCTCAAGCAAAACAAGGTCAATCCTTCTGCTGTGCATATTTGAAAACCGGTCCTTGAACCAACACACTGTCAGTCTGTCCATCTCTTGTTCAGGATAAACAGTTTTGGCAGCTGGTACACAGTCTTCTCACACCCCTGTGCTCTCTTTTCTGTACTTTGCTCCAGGTTGCTAATGTCTCTCTGTAGTGTCCAGGTCCAAGCTCAGAACCCATCCTCGGTGGCCTACTGTACACAACAGAAAGCAGAGCTGCAGCCTCCTCCCTTGGAGAGCCGAACTGATTAGCATCTGGGGAGCTACTGCCCCAAACTGAGGAGCACACAGTCACCTCCAACACTTGAAAGCATGCACGCAGATGGATGGGAAGTCACGGCCCTCCTACCAAGTGTTGAAGCATCTGCATTTGACAAACTGGGTTCTAAAAATTTACATTTCATTTCATGATGGCCTTTGGGGAGTTTTCTGAAAGGAGGTTCATGGCATTTACAGTGTCGTGTGTGTGTGTGTGTGTGTGTGTGTGTGTGTGTGTGTGTGTGTGTGTGTGTGTGTTGCTAGGGATTGAACCATGGGTTTTGCAACTGCTAGGCAAAGGCCCTACTTCTGAGGCACATCCCTCATTTTTAAAATTTGAACAGCATAAGCCGGGCGGTGGTGGCGCACGCCTTTAATCCCAGCACTCGGGAGGCAGAGCCAGGCGGATCTCTGTGAGTTCGAGGCCAGCCTGGGCTACCAAGTGAGTTCCAGGAAAGGCGCAAAGCTACACAGAGAAACCCTGTCTCGAAAAACAAACAAAAAAAAAAAAAAAATTGAACAGCATGCCATCAATACCTCATCCAAGTCATTAATTAAATTACTGAGCAGAGGTAGAAAGAGCTGGCTTAGCGGTTATGAGTGAGTACTACTCTTATAGAGAACCCAAGTTCAGTTCCCAGCACCCACATCAGATGGCTCGCAACCACTGAACAGATTCTCACACATAAGTAAAAATAAATCTTTAAAAGGGTGTGAGGGCTGGAGAGATGGCCCAGTGATTAAGAACACTGGATTCCCAGGTTTAGTTCCCGGCACTCACATGATGGTTCATGACCATCTGTAACTCCAGTTCCTGGGGGTCTGATGCCCTAACGGAAGTGCACAGACATACACGCAAGCAAAAACTCATGCACATAAAATAAAAATGAAGAAATCTTATAAAAAATAAAATTATCAGGCAGAACCAGCATGGTAGATCATGCTTCTAAACCCAGTACTTGGGGGGCTGAGGCAGGAAAATCTTGATGGGTTATACAGTGAGATGAAATGCTATCCCCCACTACCACCACCACCGAAATAGGATGAGCCAAGGACTGCTGTCCAAGCTGAGGAAAACTCTTAGTCACCAGCTGTGAATACACATTCTTGCCTGCTTTACCCCCGCGTTTTTCCTTCTTATCCACAAGGACATCTCATGCCAATCATTCTTAATCAAATAGGATTTCACTGAAACACCTTTGGAAATAGGCAGAGGGAGGATGGGGAGCAGGAACGAAAGGAAATCAGCGTGTGGCCTTTAGATGTCCTCCTCCTCCTCCTCCCCAGGTCTCAGGATGAGCCCTCATGGTTTCAGACTCCAAGAAGGAATTCCAGACAAGAACTCAGGCACAGACAGTTGGAAGAACTAGATGGGAGCTTAGAAAATGTGCATGCAGAACCACCTCTGCCCCCTCCCATTGGGGTAACCCTGGGCAAGTTGCTTAACTTGTCTGTTTGCTCATCTGTAAACTAGACAAGATAACCCCTAGCTCACAGGACTGTCAGGAGGTTTAAACGTGACACTGTATGTGGATGCGAGCGTTCTGTGAAGTGGAAGCACTACGCAAATGTAACATACTGTTCTGATGGTGTAGTGGGCCCACTGTTTTCATCAGAATAGGGTACAAAAAGATAAACAAGACCTGCTCCTTGCCCTCCCCTGGGGAACTCGGAATTCTGGAGAGCAGATAAAGTACAAGAACAGGGCACACGGCACGCGTTGTTCTAGTCACTAAGAAGAGGGAAGGTCCACCTGGGTGTGGTGACACATACCTGGAATCCCAAAGCTCTGGAGGCGAAGGCAGGAGGATCATGAGTTCAAGCCCAGCCTGGGTTGCAAGTCTCAAAAAGAAAAAAAGAAATGTGTAGGGAGTCCATCAGACTCAGGGACAGAAAAAAAAAGAAAAAGAAAAAAAGGCTTCCAGGCATTCTGATAGGTACTCCAACAAACTGAACAGATCTAATGGCTGAGGAAGACAGCATCCCAAGTAGAAGCATCCGAGAGTGATAGTTTCTAAATTGTGACTGAGGCACTGGGAGCAGTCACGTTTGACAGGAAGAGGCAGTGGGGCCGGCCAGTCACATCACGGTGTTTTAGACCATGTCACTCTCAACATGCCCACGATACAAGCATTCTGCCTTTCTTTCACAGGAGAGGCTGGCCGAATTTGAGCAGAACCACCTAGTTCTCATGTTTGAGTTTCTTCAGCTGACTTCCTTGCACTCTTCCAGGGGGCAAAGGCATCTAGAAACACTCCTGGAAGATCACATAACATTTTGAATATTATTTTATTTGTATGGGTATTTTTGTCTCCATGTATGTGCATCACTTTCATGTGGGGTAGACCTGGAGTTTCAGGCTATTCTGAGCTGCCATGTGGTTGCTGGGAATGGAACCCAGGTCTTCTGGAAGAGCAGTCAGTGCTCTTAACCTCTGAGTCATCTCTCCAGCCCGTCTTTACCTGCAGCTGAGAAACAGGTCTGTGGGAAGAGCAGGAGCTATGGCTGTATTTCAGTGTTCCAACGATTGGACAGCTCTAACAGACAGGGGTGGCTGAGAAAATACAGCACTCCCGGTGAAGGAGCTTAAGAAGCTTCAGCTGGAAGTGGCTCCCTGAAGGATGGTTATCCATCACACCTGAAAGGCTTCTTATTCTCCAGTTCCATGTGGGGAGCAAGGAGTAGAAAAATAGATCAAGGGCTCTCAAGGTCCATTTTCCAGACGGGGTTTTCAGAACTACTGTTGTGATTTAGTGCCACCTGGTGTCCAAGATGGGATATAGCCGCCACCTTTCTGGCTTTTCCAGCACTTGGGGACAAGACTAGCTTCCTTCCCTAATGGGTTGTTAAGATGCTGTTTGGGGTCTGTGGGATGGAACAGAAGAAGGAGAGAGGGCAAGCGCTGCTTGGAGCCTCGAGGATACTGTTTTCTATGTTGTCAGGGTTTCCATTTCCTCAGAACGCCTCTGGGAATGTGTATTTTTCTGGAGCACTACAGGATTGGCTTTGCCATACATACACTCTCTCATATGATGCAGAGTATCTGTAAATCTCTCAGCCAGACCAGAGAAATTGCCCTGAGCCTTTACAGTGATCAAAAGGGTCTGGTTCTCCATGAACTCGGGCTTAAGTGATGTTTCCTCCTAATTGGGTTAAATTTATACTTAGGACTCCTAGAGCCCCAGTGAAAGGTTGAGAGAGAAGCAGGACCTCAGGAAGCTGAACAGAGAAATGGCAGCCCTGCTTTCTCTCCAAACCCATTTCAGAATGGATTCCTAATGAGCAATGAAACGAAACCTGCAAAAGTTAGGGCTCAACTGCAATCTCAGATACTTAAGAGACTGAGGCAGGAAGGTCACAAGTTCAAGACCAGCTTGAACAAGAAAGAAAGATCCTGTCTCAAATTAAGAAAGAAAAAAACACTAACATTGTTTTGGTGATGCCTCATAATGTGGTATTAGATAGCATACAGGAGTAATAGCTTGAACTGGGATGGCCAGAGTTGAGCACAACAAGACTAAGTTAGGCAAGACGTTACTCTCTCCCAGTCTCTGTTCCCAGTTATCCTTGAAGTTTGTTTCTGGCATAAGCCATCCCAGGCTTAGACTGTTCAGACTCTTTGGTTTGCTTATGAATTCTGGGACAGCTCTCAGTTTAGAGTACTGACGGAGAGAGGGCATGTAATTGCGGAGGGTATTGAAAAGCAGCAGAAAGAAAAAGGGAAAATAATCATCTTTACTTTGACTGTTTTGATTCCTAGATAACTGCTTTTTAATTTTGTTTGTTTGTATAGGCTCCAACTCCTTCCTGGTCGCCACAATACAGGGGTCCATGAGTAATGGCCCCTTAACCATACTAGCCGAGAGGCGAACAAATCTCTTTTTATCCTTTAATTAAGATACTTTTTGAGCCCTGTGTGGTGGCGCACGCCTTTAATCCCAACACTCAGTTGGCAGAGACAGGCGGATCTCTGTGAGTTCGAGGCCAGCAAGAATTACAAAGAAGAGTTCCAGGACAGCCAGTGCTGCATAATAGAGACCCTGTCTTAATTTTTTTTGTTGTTGTTTTTTTTGAGACGGGGTTTCCCAATATAGCCCTGGCTGTCCTGGAACTCTCTCTGTAGACCAGGCTG